ATGTAAAACAAGAAGGCACAACTACTAGTGTTCCGTTTCGAAGTACATTAAATTGACAAATTTGACTTCAAAATGATTCAGGCACGCGCCAATATTCATAACGTAGTTACTGCTGCCCGTTTACGTTTCCACACCGCTTAGGGAACGATCGGGCGTGTTCGGTGAACACACGGGTATGATCTCGAGACTCTTGTGAAAAGGATGTTAGCCAGCTCTCTTGAGCGAACCACATCAGTCATTGAAAACACTTTGGGTTGGCAAAAAGGTCCCATTGGGGACTTGTTGCTGACGTGGAAACGTCCCCCACCAGTACCAGTACCAGTACCAGTAGTTTTGTGTTATTAGACTTCTAATAACATGTTGTGTAATCAGCCGCGCGTCGTTATTATAGGTGATGGGCACAGTTGATGTTTGCCCGCATCCGCGTCTCGCTTGGCGCGGTTCTCCCACGATGAACACAGCTTCCCCTACCACCGGAGTTATTACTTGCGGCAAAGGTGGACTTGCGGCCGTCCGCAGACGCTAGTCGTTGGAAGCTGGCATCGGCTAGGGTCCCTTGAGGGAAATAAGTGTTTGTGAAACTTCCCCATTATATACCATTATATACCTAGTTCCATCTACTAGATTTTTGACATTTGTTGTTTTTTAGGTTATATTGAGGTCACTGGCGTATCATACGTAATTTCTATATGGAATTCCTGATTCAACTATACCAAAATATAGATAAACAATCCTCTAGTTTTAGACTTCACTACTCCAGCATAATTTTTGCGAGGTATGAAACATATGAATTGTACTGAAAGCTCAATATATTCCACCAAAAGACTGTTTTAAGACTGTATATACAAGGGTTGACTGAGATGACTGAATGAATTCTAATTTTGAACTGAGCAGTAGTTTATCTATGAGCTGAATGAGCTGAGCCTTATGATTGAGAAATGGTGAAAACCTCGATGTGAGTTTCTAAACTATTGTACTCATGTAATTAATGGTTGCTAAAAATATTTTCATAAATCCAACTCGAAGAAAAATTGATGGAGTGACTAATATCACACTATTGTATAAAACTTCGTCAAGGACGAAAAGTGGGCTGATAAAAAGTACCTAATACGTAAAAGATGTGCAGGAAAATAAAGAATAGAATATACTTCACCCTAGAGTCCCTGTATGTATTTGACACTTTTGCTTTAATGAGAGTACGGACACTAAGATGGCCAAGCAGTGACAGAAGGCATAACCCTAAAAAATTTGAAATGACATGAGCAATTTGGCGGGCACTGACAGTTCATGAACGTACATGACATTAAATTATTTGAAAATTCAGGTTTTCAAAAATTAATTGTGTAGTGGAGAATTGCAAAAATGGAAGCGAGTCCTTTCATTTATTCCATTTCTCCCATTCTAACCAACAACAGTTACAGAAATGGAAAAAAAAATATGGAGCGGCCACTATGGAAATTGAATTCAGGTAGCAAGATTTGCGAAGTAAGTACCTACTCAATATTTGAATTTTTCGATTGAATATGATGCATATTCAAAGGGAAAATATGATTTATAATTTCAATTTCAACATTATAGGTGCACTTCAAATGTGAAGATTTCATAGTGGAACATACCATCAAATTGAAAGAAAATGCGGAGCCCTCATTCCATCATCAGAAGGATTATCGAAGACATTCCTTATCGAATTCAGGACAATTTTTACGAGGAAAAATTCAAGTAGAATATCAAGATGAAATTAAATGTATTTTGGATGACAAACAAGAAATAATCGAAGATTTAGAGAGAAGATATGCCGAAATTCAAAATTAATGATGAAAGATACAGAAAAAAAAAATCAAAGAAAAGGACGAACATTTGAAAAATAGCTTGAAGCAAAGAGATTCTGGAACTAGACTGCAAGTTACGAATATTCACAACTATTATAAGGAAATAATTTTAGATCTTCAACTATCTCATAAAAAATCTTTGGAACAGTGTGAGCAGGAAACTGCTAATTCAAGAATACAGGCAATTTTGAATCGACTCAAGACCCAACCTGTGATGCCATATTACCCTTGGTATGGAGTAATATTACAATATGATATTACAATGCATTTTTACTTGTAATCTTTTGATGTGTGGAAAAATGGCAACGAGCGACTCTGGACACAAAAATATATTGTGTAAGCTCTAACGTGCAGCCATCGTCTTTCAGCTAGACGCGATGGTTATAAGATTGTGAGCATTCAAATTTTATGTTGCCATATTACCCCACTCTACTCTACCATTATTTGAAATTTTGTATTCTTGTCATAGGATATACTATTCTTGAATTATAATCATTATACTTTTATTTGTCGAATTTTCTGATCGTTCATGCCCTATAAAGTGTCTTAGTATGTTATGAGAATGAATATAAGTTTGTTAATTGGTTGAATTGTTCTTCCCATTCATTTACATCCTGCCCATCAGAACTGTCTACTTAATCCTGACTCTATCTATTGAAAAACTAGTGCATCCTAAAATCGAATAAATTGAAGTACATATACCCTTTGTTAAGTATATCGAGAAATACTTTCAACAAATTGATTTACAAACTATGACCCCTTTTCGCCAGTGAGATGAGATGCCACTTCTTTATGAAAGATATATGGATGTACCCTTCACCGCGGCAGTAGAGAATAGAAGATCCGAAGTGCATGGAAAAGCATATCCATGTCTTTGTTCAAAAGTCATTTTGAGAATTTGGGGTTATACCTTCCGTCACTGCTTGTCATAGTGTCCGTACTCTTATTACAACAAAACTGACAAATATATACAGGGAATTATACATACAGGGACTCTACTTCACCCCGATGTTATATATATGATTCTTCCGTCTCCCTTGAATAAAAAGTCATTATCAAATAATTTATTGATGAAAGTAACAAACAAGTAGGTATACGCAGTATAACTTATTATAGGCACGTTATTTTCACTCTTGCATCCTACAGATTTTATATATGCGGTAGAGTAATAATTATATAAACTCATGTATTTCGCCATATTGGATCCGTCATCTTGGATTTTCCAATTTTGACGAAACAATCATTATCTCCTACCTCGAAAACCCCCAGATATCAATTTTGAATAGAATCGGATCTTCATTACAAAACTTGTTTGCCATATGATCTTCCCCAACAAGTAAATACCCTGTACATACCTATTATTGTTTTGAATGATTTTCTGTAGCGCCCATGGATGTGACGTGACAGCAATGTCAGGGATGCCAGTAGACAAAACTAAAGTCTCTAGATCATTAAAAAAGAATGCAGCTATGATCTGTCCGTACCCTGTTAAGATGACTTTAACGTAAATTTCCATCAAGGGACCCTAGCATCGGCCAGCGGAGCTTGGCCGAACCAAAGTTTGCCGAACCCAGGATATGCCGCGTATACGCAAGAATTTCGACTTCAAGCGGGGGATCCGTATGCGACGCGTCCACTGAGACATGAAACCTCCGATCGGCCGGCCGACTGCAGTTGTAGAGTAATGTAATAAGCTACGCGAGCGTTTCAACTTGAAGCGGCGTTTTGAAGATTTGAAGATGGGATTACCAGATATCGTAGGTCCTGAATTAGTTCGTGATTTTCGGTGTATATTCGGATGGCTTACTCAAAGGTTTCAGTGCACGAAATTCAAATAATAGTGGCATAACATAACACTCATAACAGTAGCATACGAATAATGAAAACAGTTTCGAAAAATAATTTTATTGATCAAATAATTCAGCAGTTTTCTCCAAATTATTTGGTACGGCCCGGCCGACCCTGCTGTCCCTGACGAGCCGTCACTGATTAATAATGCGTTGTGTTACACCACCACATACTTTTGTCAAGGAGAAAATATTAAGTAAATACTTGTATATTTGCTAGGTGTTCATATATATACAGTATGATGCAAATGTATGGAATAAATTCGTCATTTCAGAAATGGGCGACATTTAAAAAAAATCCAAAAACACGTGAGTTCTAATTTTTGAAGCCTCATCTCATGATATTCATATGAGAGATGTCACGTCACCGGTGTTGGAGTAATGACGTAATGGACGTTTTTTTCAAATACAAACAGGGGTCATGTGACACCTCCTTTGAAAGGTCTACTGATCGTCTATCCAACAGTCAAAATTTTGCATGAGAAGATTGAAATTAAAATGGATTATCATTTGATTAACTGAATCTAGCAGAGGTCTGCTACTGAGAATTGAACATCGAAGGGTCGTCGTCTTGTCAAAAAAATACATCGAATAAAAAAGTTCTAAACTCTAGTTTTTGATTTTTTTTCGAAGGTCATCTTGTTTGGAAATGAATTTATTCCATACATTTGCATCATACTGTATATGTTTATTCCACAATAACTGTAATAATTGTTATGTGAATAGGAATCATAATATTATTAATAATTTTACAGACAGAAAAATATTTTCGAGGTCAGCCACTGTTCATTCGAGATCTTTGGAATTGGAAATTCAGCGGCCAATGGTTTGCCAAGTTGACACCCTGAAAAAAATATCTGGTGCGCCACTGGTCCTTCGGGTAACTTCGGAAATTTTGGCCGCTGGCCAGGGTCTGCCAGTTCACACCGATGAACTCATATTACTCTGTAAGTAATATGAGTTCTGTGTTTCACACCGCTTTCCTGTCGCCTGCTTGTCTCTTGTCAGTATGTGATCACGATCACTGATCAGTTATCTATCACTGGTCAGTGTGTTCTGTGGTTGTTTTGTTGTTGAGTTGTTTGATATGTCAGAAAAATATAATACAATAATATTATAATAATATTACAATTTCAATATTATTTTCATTTAACGGGGCGAATCGAATGCCCAACTTTAAACAGTGCACAATGTAGTTATTTCTATTTGGGACAGTTTGTCATCAATGAAACAACTACATTAAAAATCCAAAGTGAGTACACCAGAACTTGAGATTTATGTTTGCTGACATTTGAAGAATCCTAATTGCATTTTTCAGTTCGTTATGGAGGATAGTTTGAGTGTTAAATCGAACGAATCAATAGCAACTAGTGAAGAATTCGATTTTGTTGGAGATAAACCAGGTGCAAGCAAAACACCTACACTTGATTTCAAGAACGGTGATTTGAATGAACTAACAAACGCACTCACAGAAGTTTTACAAGAACCAGATAACAATATGAATGCTGTTATTGATCATGGTGCTACAAAAATTGGTCATAGTACCTTTTATGGAAGTCCAGTAGAACTAGGAAAAGACCCTCTGAGCTTGGACGGTTTGTCTCCCACTGAGAAACAGGATCCAATGAAACCTGATGCAAGTTCTGAGGAAGAATACAGTAGTAAGAATTTTTTATTCATAAAAATGTCATTGGGATATCAGGTTCACTTTGGTTCTTTCATGGCTCTTCTCAGGGCCATTCCCAAACCCCTTCACTGTTGCAAAATTTATATAGCTGCACTTGAGCGAATTATTCTAGAATAGGGCTGAGAAAACTCCAGAAAACCCAAACATGCAACCAGGGTCATAACTAGGGTAGGGGCTATGGTAGGGCAAAGGAGGCAACTGCCAATGGCTCCAGCCTGAAAGGGGGACAAAAAAAAATTGATTAAGTTTGAATGAAAGAATTGCTTTAGAATTCATTGATGATATATTTAATATATTTTCTCCAAGTAATTTTAATTAGTTAAAATTCAAACTCTTTGAATTATCCATGAAAATTACTTGGAGAAAATATATCTGAATATTATTGATATAGCTATACAAATATTTCTCTTTATTCCTGTTACTGGTTCTTCTTGTGAAATAAGATTCAGGAAACAAAAACTAGTGAAGAGTTTTTGAAAGTACATACCTATTATTATGGAAATTGTTCCTGCATTTTTTGTGATTAGTTTGATTATTGATTGAGTAACGTACCTACCGGGTGTCAATGATTCTATTAGACAAGTCATAACTTCTAGACCATAAGGTGTATCAAAATGAGTTTTGGTATAGGTGAATGGTATGTGAAGAGGAGAGTTGTCACATATTTTTCACTTTTCGGTCACTTCCGGTTTCACCGGAAATAGCTCCGGTTCTAAATTCCTACATTTTTTATTATTACTTCTGAAGAATTACCTCCCGATGTATAGGAACGTTATTCTGTCACACCCTGTATTTATCAGTATAAGACTTCAGATTTTTGTTAGAGTTGTAAGAATATTCATTCATTTCATTATTTGGGACTACCACATGTTCCTGTACTTTGAGATCTTGTTCTGAAGGATTTTTTTTTTGCAAAAGTGCCTTACTTTTTATAGGGGACGCAAATTCGCAAATTCACAACTTCACCACGGGCGCCATCTAGTTACAGCTATGCATGCAGTAATAACTACTGGACAAACATCTACTGATTCTTGGGCAGTATACAGTTTGTCCACTTTAAGGACTCACCAGCTTCATAACCACCCTTACCCTCATCACCACCCTCATTACCATAGGTATTTGAAATGTCCATCCAACAAGAGAGTTATTTTATTTTATTTCAAAAAGTACTGTGAGGGATTTTTATTTCATATATAATACCACAAGTGATAATATTTTGCCGGAAATATTTGGTGATTGTTTAATATTTTGCCGGAAATATTTGGTGATTGTTACGACAGCTTGTTGCCTAGTAATTTCATGAATGACATTGTTATCAAAACTACGAGCCGTAGGCGAGTAGTTTTGGATCAATGTCATGAGCGAAATTAGAGCAGCAAGCTGGAGTATGTCAATCGACGAATATTTCCAGGAAAAATAGTATCACCAGTTGTATTTGTATGACTATTTCATTATTGAATGAGACAATATATATATATATAAGAAATAGGAAACATAATTTAAGTATATTCCGACTCAACCTGCAAAGAAGAACATAATGATAATAATGAAATACAGAATTAAATTTTTAAAAAATTAACTACCTACTTATTCACAAAGTGGAATGTACAATTTTGATAAACAGTATTTTTTTCACTATCTTGGAGATGGTTGCTCTTAAAGGAGTGTATACAATAATTGCTATGCAATTCAAACAAAATAAATTGAATTTATGTGACATGAAATAATTAAAAAAAAAAGATATCTTCGCCGAGGGGCTCGAACGAGGGGTAAATCACATGGGAAGTCCGGTGTACCCTAGACGGGAATTCCTTGGGAAGTCTGGGAATTCTTTGGGAAGTCCGGGAATTCTTTGGGAATTCCTTAGGAAGTCCGGGTATTCTTTGGGAAGTCCAGGAATTCCTTGGGAAGTCCGGGAATTCCTGAGGAAGTCCGGGTATTCTTTGGGGAGTCCGAGGAATTCTTTGGGAAGTTCGAGAATTCTTTGGGTATTCTTTGTGAATAACTTGGTAGTCCCAGCAATTTTTAGAAAATTGCACAGTATTTTGCTTCAAGACCTACTTTGTTGATTTTTTTTTGACGGAGAGGTACCGCGAGCACCGAGAGTACCTTGTCCCACTTAGAATATCATATGTTAGTCGAATTTTCATTCTCTTCAAGGTTTCCCGTTGGAATCCTGTTAATTATTCGGAAAGATGAGAAGATCGAGAAAAATTTATTTTTTATTGAACATTTTGAGTTCTGTCTGGCGATCGATTTTTCGACGACTTCCCGATATCCAATCATGCTGAAATTTTACACATATCTTTTGGTCTGGTCAATATGGGTATTATCAGATTCAATACGGTTATTATAAAGTAGAATACAATTTATAACAAAGCTTGAAATCCAATATGGCTGCCGACAAAAAATTTCCTTTTTATACGAGTGTGCGGAAAGTTACTTTACCCCACTAGTGCTGAAAAGTTACTTTTCGCCACGATTCTTGTATTGTTGAAAATGGGGATATTTATGACTAACTAAATGATCTATGTAACTATCAAAATATCGTTTATTAAAAACTTTTTTTTTCTCAAATAATAATAATATGGACAAAAACACTCGTGGAAAAACATTATACCTTACTCTTCTTGCGGCAAATGTCTTTTCCACAATTGACGGCTTGCCCGAACTCCGCCCCGCGTCGTTCGTGCAATAGCCGTCGCGTGCGGTAAAGTACTACTTTTCGCACTTGTTTGGTAAATAACTACTGAATTCGTTCACAATTCCCTCGACATGGGTACCAAATAAGAGAGAATGACAAGTAGAATACAAAAACCATATGACACTACTTGAAATCCAATATGCATGGGGCCGACACAAAATGTAAATGTTAATAAATTTCATTGAACACTCTGAAATACCATACAGGGTGTGCCTAAAAGGTCTATACAAAAAATACCACATATTCCTCAGACCACAACAATTGAATTATATCAAATCTACCTACCTAAGTATAAAATTGCTCAGTTTGGGCGCTAAACGGCTCTGGAGAATTTTGTACCTACGTTGACATAGCTTTATCAAGCAATAAAACCCATATCATGATAATGATCGAAATTATGATGAATATCATTCCATGCTAGGCGTAGAATTCAATTTTTTCAGTAAATAAACATCTAGAAGGTACTCTTGATAAAATTCTATTACTCTCATGATCTCGAAAAAATTCGTAATTCTAGTAATTCAAAACATGTTGTCTACTTGTCTAGCGCTCTAACCGAGGCTCAAACTAAGCAACTTTGTACTGAAGTAAGTTTGCTTGTATATTTCGTATTGTTTTGGTCTGATGAGGAATATTAAGTATTCTTTTGTGAATACATATTAGGGACAGCCTGTATATCTTTGCAATTCGGACAAACGAGTTCACAGAAATATAAGTATGAAATTTAGCGACTTACTATGAGCCGATCTATAAACTGTAGAGTTAGTTTCATAAACAATCTTGATATAGGGGCCAAAACTTTTATTGCTACAGACATGTGGCATAGAGAAACATCCCGAGAAACATTTTGAAGTTTTTTTGCACAAAAGCTGAAAAAATACAAAATTCTCCTATTCAAAGATGTATACAATAATACAGGTAGGTATTGGAGAAATATCATCATTTACTTTATTTCAACCTTCGCTTCATTTCCTTATATTTTTGTACAATGATAGATCGATCATTTTCATTGATTGACATTTTATTGCCGATTCCTAGATACAGAAGGTTGACGTTTTGTGCACGAGAAATAATACCTAGTAATTTTTGAATGTATGATGAATTGACATTCATCATACAGGACGTGGAAAGTAATTCTGAATTGATATTTTTATCACATGGAGAATGCGAATTCTCAATGTATTTCTTTATATATATACAGGGTGTTTCGAAATTCGACCGACAACGTTTGACAGGTGATAGCCCTCGTGATTTCATAATCATTGAGATAGGAACATTCGGTCTTCAAGTGTTCAGTTCTCGAGATACAGGGCGTTGAAGTTGAGAAATGAAAATAGTTGTTTCGCAATATCTCAAGAATAATTGAATATAATGCATTCAACTTCGGTATATGGTTTCATCTTTGAATGGGCCATTTTTTGACCTGGAAGCCATTCCGGACATTTTGTCCAGTGGTGCCCTACAGGGGGTTGTGGCATTTTTTCCTTCCATATTTTCTACGCCACTGATTGAATTTCGATTATTTCCAATTCCTCGAATTCATTGTTCAATTTTGTTCAGAAAATGCATCACCTTCAACTGAGCTGAAATAAACAGTTTTCGAGATATTCGACCCAAAATAGAAGATTGCATAGTAATATTTCATCATTTTCAGTAGTAGAAAATTGCAAAAATATTTTTCTGGTGTTGAGTAGATTAGATACTATTCAGATCTCATTCCATAGCTGAACAGAAATAGTTATTCCACACATGAAGAGAAAACAAAAATTTTCGTAATTTTTTACTACCGAGGAAGATGAAAAATTACTATGCATACTTCTATTTTGGGTCAAATATCCCGATAACTGTTCATTTTAGCTCAGTTGAAGGTGATGCATTTTTTCAACATAACTGAACAAACAATTCGAGAAATTGGAAATAATTGAAATTTCATCAGTGGCGTAGAAAATATGGGAGGAAAAGTTATCACAACCCTCTGTAGCGCATCTCTGGATAAAATTCTCGGAATGTCTTTCTGGTCAAGAAATTAATCAGTGAAAGATGAAACCATATACCGAATTTGAATGCATTATATTAAATTATTCTTGAGATATTGCGAAAAAACTATTTAAATTTCTTAACTTCAACGCCCTGTATCTCGAGAACTGAACACTTCAAGACCGTCTGTCCCTATCTCAGTGATTATGAAATCACGAGGGCTATCACCTGTCAAGCGTTGTCGGTCGAATTTCGAAACACCCTGTATATATCCATTTTTTTGTGTTCATAAA